AAGTGTTCTATTCGCTTGCGCGCATATGGGAGCACTGCGTCAGGGTAAAAGTGTTCACGGCTACACGGTCAGATTTGAAATTGAACCGGATGTTGTGACTTATACTTCACTCCTCGACATGTACTCAAAGTGCGGGTTGCTGGACTTGGCTTACAGGGTGTTCAATTCGATGCCTGAGAAGAATGTTCAGTCCTGGAGTGCGATGATTGCAGGGTTTGGGATGCATGGGATGTGCTCGAGAGCACTTGCGCTTTTTGATCGCATGAGATCAGAGGGCATCGTGCCCAACTCTGTGACGTTTGTTTCTGTACTGTCTGCTTGTAGTCACTCGGGTAAAGTCCAAGAGGGACGTTACTACTTTGAGTCAATGACTCAACACTACAAGATCACCCCGACAAGCGAGCATTTCTCTTGTATGGTCGATCTTTTAGGGCGAGCTGGGTTAATTGAGGAGGCAGAATCTTTAATTGAGAAAATGCCAGCTGCACCCCATGCGAGTGTTTTCGGAGCTCTCATGGGTGCTTGTAGAATGCACAAGAAGGTTCAATTAGCAGAACGGTTAGCAAATAAGCTCTTTGTTATGGAGCCTAATCAGCCTGGCACGCACGTGCTCCTCTCTAATATTTACGCAGAAGCTGAGATGTGGGATATGGTGAAGAAAACAAGGGAAGTTATGAATGATAGAGGATTGAGGAAAACAGTTGGATACAGCTCTATCGAAGTTGACAAAAGGGTTTTCATATTTAGCGTGATGCACAAATCTTACGACGAAAGAATTCCCCAGGTGTGGCGTGTGCTGCGGGAACAAATGAAAGCACTTGGTTATACACCTGATTTGTCCTCCATACTCCATGATGTGGATGACGAGGCGAAGGAGGAGATGCTGTGTGGTCACAGCGAGAAGCTTGCCATTGCTTTTGGTCTTTTGAATACCGGAGATGGGGTGCCACTGCGGATAACTAAGAATTTGAGAGTCTGTGGGGATTGTCACACTGCAAGCAAGTATGTTTCTATAATAACCAAGAGAGAGCTTATTATGAGGGATTCTAAGAGATTTCATCATGTTAAAGATGGTGTTTGCTCGTGTGGAGACTATTGGTGATGCGACTGCTGCTGCTGCTTCGTTTTAGTAAATTGTAACTTCAATGACATCAAATTTGGCATTTGCTCAATACATACACCATTTTGCCTGATGGTCGTCGTAGGATAGTTTTCTAAGTTAATAGTAGCGTCGCCTAACACTTCAGTATTACTATGTCATTTCATTCTTGTGGAATGAGGACTGTTAAATACAATTTTACAGATTTGTTTCATCTCAAAGGTTGAAAAATTGGTGGATGGGGGAATACTTGTATCTGATTCACTTCCAACTTCAAGTACATCATTTTTAACGCACTAGTATAGTGCACGTGCTTCTCATAAGAGCGTACCCGTTTTGTTTTATGTTTTTCAAATTATTTTTTATTGGCTGCAAAATAATTAAATGACTTGTATAGCAATATAAATTCTGAACAATTATGATTTTATTTAAATGAATTGTACAATAAAACCATGATAAAATACAAAATGATTAATTGTTGTAGTTTGGATGATTATTATAATTATTCATAATTTATTAACATAATTATAATATTGTATGATTAGAATATAATACAATAAAATATAATATATATATATATATATATATATATAGGGGTATGGTTAACGGGTCACAGCCCATTAACCTAATACCCAATAGACTTAATTTAACACTCCCCCTCAAGCTGGAGCATAGATATCCACCATGCTCAGCTTGTCATATATAGTACAGAACACCTTTGAAGAAGTAGCCTTGGTAAGAATATCAGCAAGTTGTTGTAAGGATGGAGTGAATATAAGAGACACTATCTTCTTCTCCCAAGCATCTCTGACAAAATTTCAATCAACTTCAATATGTTTTGTCCTCTCATGAAACACAAGATTCTGAGCAATGTAAATGGCAGAGTGGTTGTCACAATGCATAGGCATGGGTCCAGGCTGAACAAAACCAAGTTCTGTCATAAACTTTCGTAGCCACACCATCTCACAAGCAGTGTGAGCCATTTCTCTATATTCGACCTCTGCACTAGATCGTGATACTACATCTTGTTTCTTGATTCTCCAAGTCATAAGATTTCCTCCAACAAAAGTACAGAATCCTGACGTTGACTTTCGGACTCCTATGTCTTATGCATAGCCAGCATAAGAGAAAGTAAAAATGTGTGTATGTTCATGCTTCTTATATAGCAATCCCTTACCAGGACAACTCTTGACTGTTAGACCTAATGCCATTAGGAAAGAACCCTAGAGGGGGGTTGAATAGGGTTTATGCTAATCTAATCCGATTTTATGTCAAATTAAAACTAATTAATAAGTTATCCTAGTAAATATGATATGCAATGAATTATTAGTAAGGATAAACAATATAAACAAGGGTAAACAAAATAGTGGACAATATAAACAATGAAACAATGGCTAAAAATATGAACAAAAAGAGTGCGTTAATACAAACTCAAACAAGCAATATGACCACGGAGTTCGAACCTTCTGTCCTACGTCTCCGCTCCCACTCCCGGGAAGAAATTCACTATCACACCGGGTTTTCAACGTGTTACGTCCTTTTGCTTTGATAATGATTAACAAACAATTTACAACTAATGTTGTTTGTTTAGTGTTTGTGTTTTGTATTTATTCTAGGCAAACAATATGTTGGAGGATGGATGGAATCGAGTATTCACGATCATATCTAATGGAGGTTGGCGGAATAGTGGTTGAAGCCTATGCAATTCAAGGTGGAGATCCAAGTTCAAGTTTCATCCGCAAAGTGTACCAAGTAGAGCTTATTGAAGATCAAGATCAAGCTTGGGTAATTTAGTTTAGGTTTTTATATTGTGTGTGTTAGTACTTTAAACTCAATCATATACGCACATACACGTTTTGGTTTTGTATATATAGTTATATATACATATATGTTTTGTTTAGCTATATAGATATGAAACAATATATATATTCATATACACTTTTATATGTTTCATATTCTATTGTATTTAGAAAAATATTATGTTTTTAGTTTATATGGTTTATAGACTTAACAACTATAGTTTATATTTTTTTATCAAGTCTATAAAATTATTTTACAAAGTTTCAAATTTTGGTTTTTGTCAAAACATCAAATTTCATGCCTATCAAGTTTTCATGTTTTGGATATTTTTGTAAAATGAATAGATTTCTCATTTGGGAGGTGTTTTTTGAAAACCACTTTTTGTAGCATGTGTATTATCATATCTACAATCATTTTCCAAAGTTTTATATTTTCTGAAATTTGTTTACTATTTTTAAAGGTAGTTTAAAAATTAGTTTTACTATTCAAAACAGGTTGATAACCTGTTATCAGTCGACTGGTAAGTCGACTGATGACATCAGTTGACTGATGTGTCGACTGAAGAATATGTCTGGAATCAATAAAAAGTTTCTGTTTTATTTTAGTCGACTGACCAGACGACTGATGAGGTCATCAGTCGACCGATAAGGTCGTTAGTCAACTGATGAGATGGAAAATACCTCTAACGGTCAGCTCATCAGTCGACTGATAAAACCCGTCAGTCGACTGATGCTGTAACGGCTAGTTTTTTTAGTCTTTTACAGATTTGGATTTTTTGTCTTTTTGTCTTGTTTTCTCTTGGCTTTGGGGTTCCTATAAATACCCTCACATATCCTCAGTTCTATTTACTGAAGAGAAAAGTTTTACAAGGGTTTTAAAAGTTTGTTTAGTTTGTTTAGTTTGTTTAAAGGTGTTTAAACCTTGTTTAAGAGTTTTGTTTGTGAAGATAATTTCACAAGAGCAAGTGAAGATCATCTATTGGTGTTTGAGCATTCAACTATTCTCCCGCTCTCTTGTTATCTATAGAGAAGTTTCCTTAAACTCAATTCTAGCTATTTATTGTTTTGATTCTAATTTCCATAAGCTAGATTTCATTATTGAGTTTAATTATTTTATTGATACTCTTTGTTCACACACAACCTATTGAGCTTATTGTATTTGCATTCATAGTATAATTTGGGATTGGGGTTTGTGACATTGAAAGTGAGCTTAATTGTATTCTCATCTATTATAGAGAAAAAATTTATATGTGTGAGCTTCATTACGAGTTACACATTTTATTACACTTGGACACTGAGAGAAGTGGTTGGTGAGAGACGGGGTCGGTTCCAAGAGGAGTGGGGTCGGTAATAAAGCCTAGTAAGAGGTGGTAATTCTGAACACTTGAGGAAGATGACACAGGCTAGGCTAGCACTTAGAGGGTGTGAAGTGTAATTACAAGTGTGTAAGTTGTAAATTTTTTGGTGAACTAGAAAACCGATTGTTGTATTAAGCCTAATTGTGAGGATTCATTTTGTATTACACTAGTACACCAAGAGGAGTGTGTGGTGAGAGACGGGATTATCCCAAGAGGAGTGGGGTAGGTGGTAATACCTAGAAAGAGGTTATAATTCCTAACACTTGAGGGAGACACGGGCTAGAGACCAACACTTGAGGTGGTAGTTAGTGCACTTGAGGGAGACACGGGCTAGAGACCAACACTTGAGGTGGTAGTTAGTGTAGTTATATTGTGAGATTGTGAACGTTGATCAACACTTGAGGTGGTAGTTAGTGTAGTTATATTGTGAGATTGTGAACGTTGATCGGTGAGCGTTGAAAACTGATATTATGTGTGGTGTAAACGTTATTCGGGTGATCGTTGAAAACCCGGTGTGATAGTGGATTTCTCCTCGGGAGTGGGGAGCGGAGACGTAGGACGGAAGGTCCGAAAACCGTGATCATATTGTGTGTTTACATTGTTTAAATTATTCTATCACAATTGTATCTTTTGTTTATCTTGTTTCACCCTTGTTTATATTGCTTATCCTTGCTAATAACTCATTACATATCTTATTTGCTAGGATAACTTATCAATTAGTTTTAATTTGGCATAAATCAGATTAGATTAGCATAAACCATATTCACCCCCCTCTAGGGTTCTTTCCTAGTGGCATTAGGGTGCTTTCACAACGCTCACCCGAAAATGTTTACACCACACAATATCGGTTTTCAACGCTCACCAATCAACATTCACAATCACTCACAATGTAACTACACAAATCACACATCAAGTGTTGGCCTCTGACGTGTCTCCCTCAAGTACTTGGAATTACAACCTACCTTTAGGCATTACCACCGACCCCACTCCTCTTATGACCGACCACGTCTCTCACCTCTACATTGTGTATTTCTGCAATACAATGCAACTGTGACGCCCCTGTTTTCACACATGGCTACAGTCCAAGGTGAACCCAGAGATGTCAAACCTACCATGCACCTACACTGTGCTACAATAAGTTTCACCAATCACTGTAATATCATCTAGTGGGATCAAATAAAAGCGTAGGTACAAAACAGGTAAAGAAGTAGAACAATAATAATAGACATGATAAAGAGGATGATATCTCATAAATAAAGATCATGTCTCAACTGAAAATAAACTAAAATACATATGGAGTCTGAAATAACATACGATGTCTCAACATGAATCAAAACAGAAAGTCGAACTAAGGCACATTGCCTTTACAAAATGAAACTAAACTCTAAGTCTGAATAAAATTTAAAACTACAGTGGAGCCTCTAATAAATCTCTCGGGACGGCGACTATGCAAGAACTCTGTCATCCTGCGGCTCTCAGGACTTCTGAGCTACCTGAAAGGGTATTTTTAAAAGAAAAAGAAAAAACAACAAGAGCGTCAGAGCGCTACAGCAAGATTACCCCCATCCGCCCCCAGGGGAAGGGCTGCTAGGATGGAGTGGAGGATTTGTAACGCCCCGCCCCAGAATCCCGGAGTCGGTACGCTACTAGATCTGATGGACTGGCCTCACAAACCACCACATGTCTTTTCAGCACGTTTTGTCCTCACTCACGCGCTCCCTAGAAAACTTCCCAGGGGGTCACCCATCCTAGAATTTTTCCAGGCCAAGCACGTTTAACTTTGGAGTTTCTAAGAGTTGGGTTCCCGAAAAGAAGATGCATCTTGGTGGTATGAGTATTCCAATCAAATCTATCAATACTAATCACATCACCCTCTCAAGGGTTGGGGTATAACATACTCCCCCACTTAAACTCACAACGTCCTCGTTGTGCCAAATCATATTATCCAAGACCGTACCATCTGTGTGAGATTCTAGAGGTGGCTCCTACGGCCTCAAGAGGTGGCTCACGCCCTTTCGACGTAGCACTTTGCGCCGCATAGCACTTAGCTCTCACAATTCCGGTTGGCTTTGCTCTGATACCATTTGTAACGCCCCGCCCCGGAATCCC